AGATTAAGCCAGGGCTTGTGACTGTTAACATTCGTGGAAACGTGTTCCACAAATCCAGCTTTCTGAGAAAAATCAGATTCTAGCTTCCTTCTGGTAATTTAAAGAGCCAACAATCTGTTCATATGACCTTCAGATCAGGCTGGCACAGGGACTGAATCCTCCAATAAAAACTGAAGAACAGCCCTTCTGGGCCACAGCAGTGGTCCTCCCCGCCCAGCGCTCTGCTCCCAACTGGGGCAAGGTGAGAGACCATCCAGGGAGAGCACACAGGCCTGGACATTTCCCTCTCTGTTGTGTTTCTTCAGCATTCACCTTTCTTGGATCAGGATGTTGGACTGCACATCCTACCTGTTAGCTTTAGTGTCCATTTACGGACCTGCTGTCTGGGAATTTGTCTAATCCCAGTTTGAGCTGGCTGATGCTGTCTGCCTCTGCAGGCTGCTGGGCCAGCAACTTCCAGAAGTTCTCTACCTAATGTGGTGTAATTTCTTTAATCTGTTCTAAACTCACCTCCTACTAGTTTTACTGAGTATTCCCTGTTCTGCTGTTGAGGGATTTGGCTACTAATAGATCTGCATTCACCTCAGCCACCCTGATTTTGTAAGCCCAGTCCCTAATCATCAGAAAAATATCCAAGAATTGCAATATTGGGTTGCCCAGCTCACTCCCCTCCCTGTCGTTTGCTGACCTGCCCAGAGTGGTTTTATGCCTGGAGAGCTCTGGCTGTTACTAGACTCAGAGGGGAGAAAAACGACAGCAAAGCAAATGGAGCGCGGCTTCCTCCCAGAGCTCTACTCCCCGCGGAGCCGCTCAGCAGTGACGCGAGGGGTCTGTTCTGCGGTTAGGAGCTGGACGCTGGTGGGCCTGTCCCTCCCGGGGGCTCGGCAGACCCCTGCCCGGCAGAGGGCTGCAAAGCAGCGAGCAGCGTTTCAGGGAGGGTGGGCTGGCAGCCCCGGCGCGGGTGTCGGGGGCATCTTCCAAAGTGGCTTTAATTAATGAGCACATGTGCGGCGAGGAGAGTTACAGCATCCCACTCAAATTGTTGACTTGGAGCCGCTTCTGGAGACAGCCGTACTCTGCTCATTAGGAAAGAGCTTTTTTGCAATGCCCTTGGATTGGACGGCTCTTGGATTGCACCACGAGATCAAGTCCACGTACGGGCTGCCTGCCTTTCGGCTGCCAGCTCCAAGAGGGTTGTTTTTCTTGTCTTCTCATTCTCAAGGAGTGCTCAGCCAGATGGCCTGTTTTCGAATGCACTGTGCGTTGGTTGGATGTGTGTTTGGAGAGTCTGCCAGCTTCACGAGAAGGAAGAAAGAGCAAAAGAAAGGGAAAAAAGCGCCATTTGGTATCTATCTCTGGGACCCAGCCAGAGTTGAGGCTCTGTTTGAAGAAGGGGGGAGTCTTAAGAGAGAAACTCTAGACAAAATTGAAAGCTGGAAAAACTTTCAAGCTTGACAGACTGGGAGACTGAAGTTCTGTACAACACTTCGTCCACTACCTGGCTCCCTTGCAAACGTGTAGCAGAGTCCCACAAGAGCAATAGCAAGAGCAAGCATAAGCACCGTGTGTCTATCTCGCTGCCCTCCCAGCGCACCTCGCCTGTGGGCTGAGATGAGGAGAGGTGACCTGGCCAGCCTGCCCACCGAGGCTGGGTAATGCTGCTTGTGGCTCCTGGGATTTTTCCCTCCGTTCACCATAAACTGAAATTACAGCGCCGACAACGTCAGCCCAGGAAGGTGAGCCACAGTGGAGTAGTATGAAATAACCACCACCGCAGCCCAACTCTCAAAGGAGCTAGCCTTGATTTTACTACAGGCCAAGGTCATTCTCTTGCACTCCCTGATGTTCGCTTCCCAGAAATACCTTCTGTTGGTTTTGGGCAGCAAATAAATACAGGCCAAACCAGAGCAACGGCTTTTTCCAGCACTTATTGGCAAATAATTTGAACCTGACGAGAAAAATCTTTTGGTGAAGGGAAGGGGGAAGTCTTGAAGTTTCGGTGGATTGTGCTTGGCTTTCTTTTCTTAACTAGATGTCGTCTTGTGGTAACAACACACTGTTCCAAGCAGCAGGAGGAGGTCTTGTTAAGCAGAGCCGGAGAAAGCCACATTTGTAACCATCCCCGCTGGCTGACACATCACTGCGTCTTACAAGCAGACTTGTCTGCTCACTTACTGAAACCATGGCACAAAGATGGTTGCAGGAGAGTGTGTGTCTGTGCAGGTGGGTGTGGTAACTGCAAACCCCACATCTCCACTGATTGCATCAACTTATTTTCACTGAATTGATCAGAATTTGCGGGCCCAGGGCGGACAGTGTGTCCATGGCAACACTGCCTGGGCTGTGGGTTGCAGACACTCTGCAGACAGCTGGGGCAGAGGGCTCTTCTCACTCCTGCTGTGGACTACACAACTCAGGCAAAACCTGCCGGCACCTATGGCATGTAATAAGCACCTGTGGCTTCCCAGGACTTCTGGACCGTCACTACGCCAGGTCCAAGAGGTACACAACGTCCACTTCACAGCAGCAGCAAGGACAGCATCTGCAGTCCCCAGCGTGTAAAGAGCAGGACCCTTCCCTAAATGTATGCAAACATCATCAGCTGTTGGCAAACCAGTGTCTCTGACGCTGAGACCTAGCGGTGCAGACTCCATCCTGGAAGGGAAGAAGGATTAGCTGGTTCAGGACAGTGACATTGCAAACACATTCTTGTATGGGTAGGAAGGCTGCATGATGAGATCACCTCCCTCCCCAGTCTGACAGGACACAATTTTGGTAAATAACCATGGCATAAAAAACCACACTGCAGTACCTACATTCACAGCTAAGATCATTACAAGAGATTTGATTTTCTGTCTGCCAGAAAACAAGATGGGAAAATCCAACAGCAAGTTCAGTCATTCTCTCCAGGGCTTTAGAAGGTTCATTAAACCACTCAGGGAACTGCCTGACTGTCACTGCGTGCTGTGTCATGGAACTGGTAAAGGAAGGATTTCTGTCTTTGATTGCACAGAGAATGCAGGGGTCCAGGAGTCACAAGACCGGGCTTTGCTGCAGCCCACTGAACTGCCTTAGGCTAGTTACTGCACCTCTTGGCGAATGGAAATAATAATTACCACAACATTCACATGAGTACTGTTGGGAGGAGGTAGCTGCACACTTACAAGGGTCCTCGGTGCACTCTGGGTGGGAGATCAGCTAGAAACAAGACCCAGCCATCCGCTCACCCAAGCTGCGCTGGCTGTGTCAGACACCAATACCAAGCTCTGCATTTGTCGCATATCGCAATTTTCACATGTTTTATTTCATTGCTGTAGTGCTGCCTGACTCCCGGACAAGGTAATCTCCAGCACACCGCCCAGCACCGGGCTTCAGGCACAAGTCGACAGGCCAGTCTGAAAAAAAAATCAATTTCCTCTAAGTTATCTGGCTGGGTGTCATTACATACCTAACGTTGTCCAAGGAGGGGAAGCTAGAAGAATTGCCCAAACACGGGATTTTGGAAATTTGTGTGCTGTGAAGAGGGGGGAGGCCTGCCTTCTAGCACCAGACCTGGCTGCTCTGCCACCAGCCTTTGTGTATAACGTTTTTAGCCAGAGTCAGTACCTGGATGGGAGATCTCCAATAGATGAGGGATCAGAGGTTCAGAAAGTCTCCTCTCTCCAGCCAGGCAGAGGTCAGTACATTCCACAGCATGGCACGGGTAGTATCGTGTTGCCCGTTATGAACAAAGGTTTTGAGTGTGGCTGCACCTGTGTTCAGTAGCACCCACTGAGGTACTGCGGAGGATGGCTCCAGTTTTGCAGCAGAACATCTCACTTAGGCACCATTCTTCTTGAATATTCAAGGCTTTCAAAGGGAGCGAGCTCCCCAACTGTGTTAAAAAATGGCCACACTTCCCCTCTTCCTTCATGTGTGGCCTCACTCCCTACCCAGAATCTCTCAGAGCATATTCTTAACTTCATCAGAAAAACAATGTTTCTAGCAAGAAGACATGATGAGGAGCACACCCAGCTTCTATTGCACAATTGCAGGGGAAAACTCTCTGGGCTACATCTCCACAAAACACGAGACAAGACAACAGGCACAGGGCAGAGCTGAATATCAGTAGCAAGGACACGATGATTGAAGCTGGAGATCTGGTTTAAGTTTAAAGCGTAGATATACACAGAGTGGATGGTGCCCGAGATCCATACTGCTTATGCTGACAAGCCTACACAGGCCAGGCATGGAGCCAATCCTGTTCTTCTGGAGTATCTCACTCACATCCATTCTCTCAGTCCATAAGCTTCCCATCATTTTGTTGGTGGTCCATATCTCCTGTAGACCATATGTTTGACATTACTGGGGAGAGCAGAGGTTAAAAAGATTAGAACTCCTTTTGAAGTTAGGGGGAGGAAAGACTTCAGAGAATGACTTATGGCTAGAAGTATCTCCGTCAGTCAAATGCAGAGACCCATTTGACTCATGACTGGAGTTGGATGTAAGGACAAAGACTGTTGCTTTGAAAAAACCTGGTCAAAGGTAAAATGGAAGACCATAAAGTGGAAAACAACAGAGCACATCTTCAAGAAATTGAACTCTAAGATACAAATTCACTTCACCACCATGCTGACTGGCTTCTACACTGTGATTGCCCAGTAGTTCACAAGTCTGTTTTCAAAAAATGCATGGACATACACGCGCCCCCCCAATGCCCCCAAGTAAATATAATATAAGTAGCTATTATTCATATGTGATTTCTTGGCAAGCATTTTACTGTGACTTTAGCAAGGCTTGATGCTATCTACCATAGTGTTCTTGTATCCAAGTTAGGATGTTATGGTCTGGATGGGTGGACTAGCAGAAGGTAAAAAACTGGTTTAGATGGTCAGGCTTGGAGAGGAGTGGATAACACGTTGTACTCTACCTGGAGGCTGGTGAAAAGTCAGATAATGCAGAGGTCTATCCTGGGGTCTTGTCCCCTTTTAAACTTCTTTACCAGTTGTCTGGATGAGGCAATGGAGTGCTTGCTCATGAAGTTTGGAGATGACATTGAAGTGGCAGGGGCAGTTGACATGCTTGAGTGCAGGACTGCCTTTCAGAGGGCCCCAGACAGGCTGGAGGAATGGGCTGATAGGAACCTTACGAAATTCAGCAAGGACAAACGCAAAGTCCTGCACTTAGGAAGGAAGACCCCCTGCAGCAGTACGGGCTGGGGACCGATGGACAGGGGAGCAGATCTGCAGACAAGGATCTGGGGATCCAGGCAGAGAGCAAGCTGGGTATGACCCAGCAGCGTGCCTTGGCAGCAAAGGCAGCCAAAGACACTCTGGGCTGTATTAACAGAGCCACAGCCAGGAGGTTGACAGATGTGTTTATCCCCCTTCCCTGGGCACCCAGATGGCACTGGACTACTGAACCCAGTTTTGGACACCCAATGCAAGAAAAATTTTGACACATTGGAGCAAGTTCAGCAGAGACCACCAAGATGGCTGGGGGCTAGAGCCCTGAGAGCAGGGGCTGAGGGAACAGGGCTTGTTTGGCCTGGAGGAGAGAGGGCTTCGTAGGGGACAAACAACAGCCTGATTGTTCCTGCAAGGAGGTTAGCAAGAAGATGGAGCCAGGCTCTTCACCATAGTGCGTAGTGGGAGGACAAGAGACAATGAACATAAATTAAAATGCAAGAGGTTCAGGCTGGCTATAAGGAAAGGCATTTTCATCATGAAGACAGTCAAGTATTGCCCAAAGAGGTTGTGCAGTCACCATCCTTGAAGGTTTTCAGGACCCAGCTGTTGAAAGACCTGAGCAGCCTGTTCTCATCTCACAGGTGGCCTCCTCCTTCTTTGAACAGGAGGTTAACTAGAGACCTCCTGAAGTCCCTTCCAACCTGTGATTGTATGGTTTTGAAAGGTATTTGGGAGCCTGAGCGTTATCCACTTAAGGAGCAGACACAATACCATGCGAGTTGATTGGCCAATCACTCTGCACGAGTAGAAACTACTCAAACAAAAGTCATGGTGAATCATTTGCAAAAAGATTTGTTTGCATAAAACAATTCATTGAAAAATTTAGACTAACAAATAGTTGAGAAAAAGTCTGTCTGTCTGTTCTTCACAGCCTGAGAAGAAACGCAATTTCAGTGAATTTATTGCCCAGTTACACACCCATTTTCCTTAGTGCCCAGTCACCAGATAGTAGATTGAAAGCTCTGTTCTCTCTCGTTGAGGGCTGTCATCTATACATGAAAAAGAATGAGAATGCCAGATACCAATGGCAGCTAGAAATATTTCTTTGATTATTACTATGGCATCTTCCAACTGAAAACTCAGATTGGTTCACTGCTGTTAATTAATTAAGCCTAGAAACACTTATGCCAGGAAGTTCGGTATCATGACTCCTTTTTACAGATGGGGGGAAAACAAGATATAACATTCACTCGGGGCTGCTCAATGAATGAGGGGTAGAACCAGAAATAAAACCTGGGAATCCTGGCTCGGAGTCTCCTCTTATAATCTCTAGACAAAGCTTCTTCCCTGTAAAATTCCATCTAAGCTTTTCATAGAACAATTAGAGCCAATTTATTTCCTCACTCGTTAACAATGAAATCTGACAGGCTTTGTACTTGGGATGCTGAAGCTCAGCTAGGGGACCAAGGCTCTTCTCCATGAGGGGAGGCCTGGAATGTCAGTCTTTAGGTGGCTTAGTAGGGGCATGGTTCCAGCTGCCAGGTACTTGAACTCCTGCCCAAATCCCTGTGGCAAAGCTTTAGGGAAGACCTGGAACGTAAATTACCAAAGTGATCTACCACAAATGTTAGGGAAGGATTTTGACAAATAGCAGCTGTTTTTGTAATGATAATGGTTTGCCCTCAGTGGCACTTAAGACGTACGAAAGAACATTTACCTGCCTCGGTATTAGGTTGGTTTCTTTTTCCTTTGATTTTGTTCGCCTATGAGCTGCGCAAGCAGTTTTTCAAGTGAGCGAGCTGACAAAGCTCTGAGACACGAGGAAGATCATGACAGTACTTCAGATAAGCCCCTCAATTCTGCTGCCTTCAGTTCCATCAGATCCAGAGCACACAAAGTTCCTAAGGCCTTACAGCTCACTAGCAGTGACTTGTACTGCCTTGGGATGTGTAGGAAGGTAATGAGTCACGGACTCCTCTACCTTCTCTACCCAGGGCAAATGGCTCACCACCCTCTCTGTCATCACTTCCAAGGTTTCCTCAGAGGCCAAGAAACTGAGACATGAAGAGCTCCAGAAGCGCTGACCATCCAATATTCTGAACCCAACGACTCTGAAGGTTGCTCAGCACCTCTTAACCACAGGCGATTATGTTTGAAGCTGGAGCATCCCAAACTAGCGGATGCATTCAAAAATGTGTCCTACTTGCTCAGAATCATGTGAAACAAGCTCTGGCAGAGGAGAGGCAGACTCAAGATTTCCACATTAAAAAGCCTGTACTTTTGCTGCTCTGATGTGTTTTCCTGCGGCAAAGCAATACAAGAAAGACTATTCCCACAGAGCTTTTGGGGAAATTCTGCATGTCCTCTGTCTTGTTCTCTTCAGCTTTTGGCTATATGAAAGCCTTCTGCAGAGTAGAGTTGAGGATGCGGATCATAAAGTCCAGAGACCGGAAAAGGTGAGAGAGGGAATTTTTTTTTTTACAAGAAATCCTTGGGAAGTGTGGAAGCTCATCTTCCCTGGTTCTTCAGTGCCATCTGCCTCATCTCTACCAAGTCTCCAAGCTTAGGGCCAGTAGATAGCATGTTGGAATTGACTTTGAATGACTGGAAATAGTTTGCTATTTCCAGTCCCCTCCCTCAAAGCTCCATTTGTGGCTAACATGGTTAACAGATCACTGCTTCTTTGGCCCCAGGTATCTGCTATGACGTTTCCCTTTCCCTCTTCGGCATTTTTAGCCACCAGGACAGAGTGTGCATCTCCTCCTGCAGTGAGGCAGACTGACTGATAGAAAACAATATCAGGAAAGCTCATTGTCTTAATATTTGGGGCCAAATCACCTAGGCTTTGGCTGCCTACTTCCCTTGGTCCAGCATTGTCTTGGTGACCTATGAAGCAGAAGTTCATATACACCTTCTCGGGGGGGGGGGGGGGGGTGAAAAGGGGAAACAGAGAGAAGAGGGAAAACACACAGAAGAGCACTTCTGTCTGTCAAAGCAAAACTAAAACGTGTGGGGAACAAAGGAGGTTGGCTTTGGCTTAAGATCAAAGCCTGGAGGTGGCTGTGGCTTTCTGAACTTCTAGCTGAAACTAGCAGAAAGAGGCTCTTTTTAATTGAGTTGATGGCACGGAGAGCTGCTTGCAAGGGTCCAAAACTGCAGAAAGAGAGTGAGACCCAAGGATGCAAGCTTTCTCACCACCCTGATTTTCACTTCAAGGGGGAGAGGTTGGTGGGATTTGAGTGTCGTGTAGCAGGGAAAAGTGTTTAGGCTGTACTACCTCAGTGGCTTCAGAGGGACTGAGAGCAAACACAACCACAACTGCCTATCTGGTTGAAGTGGGGTCAGGGGAGGCTGCAGTATAGGGAAGGGGTTACTGCTTGACCAAGCTGTGTGTTCAATGGAAACATGCGCTGGCAAGAAAGGAGAGTTCAGCTGAAGCCTAGAACATGAAATTGGACAAGTGGCTTTCTAACGAAAAGCTGAAGGGGAAGTTCCACAGCCTGTTTCACTGCAGCAAATGACAGCAAAACTTTGCAGAAGGGAGTCAGGTTAATCTGGAATTAAGAAGGGACTTGATAATCTGCTGAAGTAAAATTTGTGTAATTATCGTATAGACGCAGTTTTCTTGTGGGCATCTAGCTCTTTCAAATGTAGATAAGAACGACTGAGGACATTCTCAACAGAGGATAGCCTTCTATGGTATTAAATCTGTGCCCAGAAGTCACACCAGCCTTCTGTTTGTTCACAAATACCCCAGTGTGTCAATCACTTACCATGGAGCCTGGCAATTAAGATAAATCACTGGGACTGATAGGTTAGGAAGCACTAGATACAGTAACTAGCATCAGCTGAAGCAGCCACTTAAGAAGCTTCTTGAGGTGATAAACATGCCCTTCTTTTAGGACTTCTTCAGTTCATGAGTATGGTTGACATATGGTTGACATCTCTGTCTCAGAAATAATTGCTTACCAAAGAATTGTGGCAATCTGCAGGAAACAAGGAGAAGGGCTGAGCTAACCCAAGAGCGGCTGTTTTTTATGTCCCTTTCCATCCTGAGACATGGGAACATTTTTACAAGTTAGCATGTTGGTGTCTCACTGTGGCTCAGCTGGGATTGATGGCAGATTGCATAGTGGCTTGTCCAGAAGAAGGACAAACAATGCATGAAAATGCCTTCTATGGCCAGTGGACCTGTAGGAGAAGAGAATTCTGCAGCTGTTCATGTTAACAACTCGCAAACGATATAATCAACCAATAGCAAGGTTATTGTAAATTCATCAGGCAAATATTATTCAACCATCTGAAGAACGGCTTGACTAATGAAAAGGTTATTTGTGAATAATTCCAGAAGGATGATAACGCATTGGAAAAAGTACAGAGAACAGATACTGAGCTGATTAAAGGACTAGAAAGCATGCCTTACAGTGAAAGACTCCAGGAGGTCAATCTGCTTGAACAAAGATCAGGTGAAGGATTGACTTGATCCCAATCTCAGTGCCAATATAAAAACAGAGGTTTGATAACGGAGGGCTGTTAAAACTGGCAGAGAAATAAATAAAACAATGATCGAGAACTGAAAGTGGAAAAATCCTAACTAGAAAAAAACCCATGATTTTTTAGAAGTGAGAGTAATTAACCACTTTATGTAAGGCTTTTGGTGGATTTCTCCATTCAGCAGCAATATGTGAAAAAAAAACAACAAAACACAATCCCTGAAAGTTACTCTGTATTTCCAAGAAAAAGAAATTCGGTGTGATCCTGCAGCCTATGGCATGCAAGACCTTGGACCAGTGATGCCACTGGCTCCTTCTCACTTTGTAATCTCTGAACCAACGAGCAAGTTACTCAAAACTGACAGCAGAAGGTAAGGTGCTGAACATACTGATACACCATTCGTGAATTATTCAGCAAGCTCTAACTATGATGTTTGTAAGGACTGAGGAGATCAATGGGAAGACTCCTAGTGATGACATCACCTTGAGTAAATCAGTCTACAAGACACACCTTCACTCCCTTTGTTCTTCAAGGAGCAAAATCCTCTTTGCAGACGCCTTTTGCCCCTTGCTATGCCTATATCTCTTTGCCTTCCACCAGTGAAAGGAACTTAGCGCTAACTCAGGAAGGATTTGTGAGTTTTAACTCACTAACGGTTGCGTAGTGCTTTAGGAGCCTCATCTGGGAGATTCAGTCTATGCCTGTGCGATCCCACTCACTTATTCCTTTAGACAAATGGGGGGAGGCACTTGCCTCCTCATATCTGGCAGCTATAGCAATAAATACAACTTTAAAAATAGATTTTGGCAGAGAATTTAAAAAATTACAAGTGCCCCAACTTTAAAGGATAGAACAGGGATTAGACAAGGCTGCTTGAGAGGCTCCTTCAGTCATGACTGTGTATCATTCGTTGAATAAAGAGAGTCACTGCCTGACACATTCCCAGTTCCATGTAGCTAAAAAAAAAAAAAAATGCTGCTCTTCTTTTGGCCAAATGCAAAGCCACTCTTTGGATCATGGGATAATGTCATAAGGGTTTGGTCTGATTCATTTTAAGAGAGGAGGTTTTCATATCAGTGAATAAGGCAGTTCAGAAAATCAGTTCAGCCTCCACCCCATCAGCGGATTTCACATCTAAAATCATAACGAAAGCTGCTAGAAGGGAAATAGGCCTGCTGCCCAGCTGCCTTTCTTTGTGTATCTACTTGAAACCAATCTTGCAGAAAGCTCTTAGCCTCCAGACTGAACACTAGTTGGAGCTGAAATAAATATTAATGAACAATAGTTAGGACGCTCAAGAACTGACAGTCAGTTGGTAATGTGGTAATGTGGTTGGACTGGAAAAGATGAGAAGGAGTGATGAAGACAGAAGTCCATGTGTGTGGATTCCTTTGACAGTGGGTTTGCTTTGCTGAAGTATAATAATTCCTTGCACTTCTATAAAGCTTTCTTTTCAAAGACCTCCAATTTTTTTATACATGGGGAGATAAAATTGTCCTTATCTTAGAACTGCTGAGAGGTACTAACAGGGAAATGTAGCTGTCCTTATCTCAGAGCTGCCAAGTGGTACAGAGAAAACGAACAGCTCGGGACCACACAGGAGGACTGCCAAATGTAAGGCACTTACACATAAAAGACCTAAACTGTAGCTCTCATGCCAACCTACAGCTAGTGGGAAGAGATACGATTTCATCTGCTCTCTACAGTGCCACATTGTCCTAGGTGACTACAGCAGTTGGTGAGGCTTTAAGTATCTAATGTTGAATGGGATGAGGTTAAGGCTTCTGCCCGACCTCTTTATACTTCGTTTTAGCTGAAACTCCCTCCATAAAACTCACTGAAATCAGTGGGAAACCTCTCAAGGGTGCCAGTGAGCTTAGGAGAAAGCCATACAGCTGAAGATCCAGACCATGGTGGTTACCACTTCGTTTTGGGAATTTTAGTCTAGGTTTTTGAATCAGTTCAGCTGCTGGTACCAACCCATTGCCAGGACTTTTCATTCAGCCTGACTGGGAATGGGTATCATTCCAGGCTGGGGAGATGCAGCGTTACCCCAGTGACAACTCTAAGCCATGTATCTGGGTCAATCGCACATGTTTCCAAAGTGGCTGGAGTCCTGGACGCAGAAATGCAGTGGAAGATGGTCTCTCTGCGTGTACTGTTCCACTGCCCAGGATTTCTGGCTAGCCGCAGTAATACTGGAAAATTCATTATTTTGCTCAAGAACCATAGCCACTCCTACCTGATTTCTGTTGATCAGTCAGTGAGTTACAGGCTGCTGCTGGAACAGAGACAACCTCGCAGGAAGCAATGGCAATGAACACAGCAGAGCAGGCAGCTCCTCCATCCTCTCTGTTAACCTGAGATTGCAGCAGAGTTATGGAAGATTACACACCCTGCCCATCATGGACTGCTTCGCCAATTGCAAATTGTTCTCTTTCTCAAGAAAAAAATCAGAATCAATCCGATGGCCTTTGCTTACTGCTGTATTTCACACTATTTGACCTTTCTGCTCAGCCGTTCTAAGAATGAGAAAATGAAGCAAAGATTGGCAACTGGTAGATTTGCTTAGAAAGGTTAAATGATAAATTGCATCTGACTGAATGAACCCAGGAGGCCTACAAGCAATTCAGTCTCTCTAAATCTTGGGATTTTATTGAAAGGGATATAGCTTCACGTGATGTGAGCATATGCAGTAGGGAGACACAAATGCCCTATTTCTAAGCTTACTTCAGACTCTCATATTACCAAAGCCCTTGTTTCTTCTGCACTGCCACTGCAAAACAGACATAGCACTCACTTCAGAGGACGACTTTGGTGTTTACCGTGGAGTAGAGGCAATGCAGATCATCTTCCATCCACAGCTGCTGCAGAAGCCTAGCTCCCCTTGCTGTCTGCGAAAGCGTACTGTCCATACAGCCTGGCCTTCAGAAAGGGCTGCCGACCAACCCACTATTGCTCTCACTTCCACTCGCAGCTGAGTGTGTTTGAGCGAGGGGTCACACAGCTCCTTGTAAACTGAACTCATCACTTCTGTATCTGAGCGTCTCCACGCAGGGCCAGAACCGGGACCTCCGAGGACTCGTGGCAGTAGGGCGAAATTCTGTCACAGGAGCATTGCAGGGATGTGCACCCCACAGGATCATCTTGGCTCTTACAGAGAGTCTGACAGCTCGTGATGTCAGTCATACCTAACACCAGGAGATTTAACGGGAAGAGGGAAGCAAACTGCAGAGAGACATGAGCGGGCAGTGATTTTTTAACTCTCTCAGTGAAGGAGACCTTTCAGGTATTTGCTCTGAGAGTCTGTTCTCATATCATTCCTGGGAGGGACCAGGCAGAGCCCCGTCCTGGGGAAGAGCCACCCAAGCATTTGTAGCAGCTGGAGATGTAAGATACCATTGTGGCTGAAGAATGGGCTAGGACTCTTGTCAAGGTACCAGTTAGTCACTGGTCTCAGTGTGCTGCTTTCTGAAGACAATGCAGTGCTGGGTCCTGACTTCACATAAAAAGAAGGAAAAAGAAACCACAAAAAAAACCCCAACAGGGGATATTTTCCACAGGCAGGACTAAAAAAAATACGGAAATTGTCCTTTTTTGGATGAAAATCTGAAACTCATAGACTTTTCTATGTAAGCTACTTGAATTTTTTTTTTAATTAAAAAAAACGACAGTGAAAAATGGTTACTCTTTTCCTCATCTTTCCCTTCTCCTCTTCCACTTTTCTCCTGTGCCATCACTGAAAATGGGGTAAGAAGAAAATTGACAATAAAGTCTGGGTCCCCCAGGCTTCTGAAGAGAGTAAAAAGTTCTTCGTAGGAAAATTTCTGAACAAAGGGCTATGAACAGCTCCACAACATGGCATTTGACACATTGAGCTCCCCCCTTCATAGATCCTGTGTTCTCCAGGGAAATCCATTTGCCTCCAAGGTTAAGTGCTTCTATTATTAATCCAGGTATATAATCAGGGCTGAATACAGCCACTATGGGAAGTGTGACCGTTCTCTCATCATATGACTGGGAATATTCATAAAAAGTGCAGAGAAGGTGTGACCTCTTCGTGTTCCTGTGTAACTCTGCTCCTGACTAAATTCCCTAAGGGTGAGTTGATCAGCATGAGACCTCCTGGGGGACAGCTAAGTTGATACAGAGGGGTTTTATTCTCCCTGCTTTCCAGTTATTATTTCATGGAAAATACATCAGTTATAAAATGTCTGGAATGGATTCTGAGCTACATATGGAAGTGGATTGTTTGCCAGTGCCGGATGCTACCGTAACATGTACGTCACCATGCCTTTCTCAGTTGGTGACTAGTTTGCAAAGTCTGGGTGAGCATGGAGTGATTTTACCAGACATGAGTGAGATGCGATGTAAAAGCAGTCGTATGGTGTTTGAGGTTTGTCTTTGTAACTGGCTCCGGCATTCAAATACACCTCCTCCCAAGCTGTTGTTTCCTACTCTGTATATAAATCTTCCATACTTAGCTTGAATTTTGGTTTCTGCTGTGAAAGACCTTATAGATACGACATGTGATTCCCTAGAGAGGGCAGGCAGATAATCTTGGTTGTAGAGTTATATTTTTCAGTGTTAGCTTTCTGGGTTTGCCCTTTAAAGATATGACAGTTGTATATAAGTGGAAGTAATTTAGCCCTGGAGGGGTGAAATTCTTTTTTAAGCTCTTCATGTAATCTTAGTTTGTTATTGCAAAAAGATCTCTAACTAGGAGCAACAGGGTTCAATCTGATGATGAATTATAAATAACTGGAAATCCTGGGGCAGTCCTCTACAGTGCTGGAGCGGTTGCCAGATGCAGTTGGCATCAGATGTGAGTCCAACTCAAATGCACTTGCCTGTATTTCACCCACAGGTACGGCGGACAGGAGGGCAGCTGGGGAGGTGCCCTGCTGGCTGTCCTGCAAGTGGAGGCTCACCAGTACCATCATACCGGTGCAGAGGGTCAGGTGGGGTGGCACCCTACAAAACTAGCAGCTGCACAAACACAGAGTAAAAGACAGTCCCTGCCTAGAAGAGCTAAAAGGCTGCAACTGGCAACAGAGAAGTGCAATGATTGCCTCTGGTTGTTCAGCAGCTCAGAAAATCCTTGGAATTAATTTGGCTCTGCAGATACTTTAAAAACAAATTTAATCCTTTTCCAGTAAATCCTTCTGGTTTACTGCTAGCATGAAATCCCCTGACCACCTTTTTACATACAAGCATGAGGTCACTACAGACAGTATTGGATTATGTGCACTCTTCAATGGGAGCATCACGATTTCAAAATGATGCAAGAGTATTTTTGTACTGAGGAAGCAGTGAGATCTTCAGTTACCCAGAACTAGGTCATCAGAAGCTAGTGCGGGGCAGGGCTGGGAACATAAACCCACTAGTCTTCTCCCACTCCATCTGGAGTATGGACTGGGTCGTGTGAGCCGCCCAAATGTTTGGACAAGAATTTACCTAAGGCCAGGAGCTATGGACTAGGAATGCATCATATTTACATACAGGATTCTTAGGCAGCTATGCCCCTTGGACACTTACTGAAGTTAGACAAGATAGCAAGGCACCCTTAAAGAACTGGACTAGAGTTGCGGTATCAGTCACCTTTAAGGAGCAACACCGAGTCTTTTACTGATCTTCACAGCTGGGAAGAACAGTTTTTCCTGTAATGATGTTACAGCCCCTGTTGTGAGAATTGAGGGAAAAAAAAAGGTGAATGTTTTTTCTGGTTCCTTTGGGTAGGATAACTTTTGGTAAAAACATGTGATTCAGTCTGGCTTTGTTTTGTGGGCAGTTCAAGAATATCTTGGTCTACCTAATGATGTGGGGAAATAGCTTGTTCTTTGTCAGACAAAGAATATTTCCAGCCAGCTGGCTTGAGCTACCTTTAAATTATTTGACCTAGTAGTTTGACAGCACTGAAGAGTTTAACGTGGGCTAAAAGGTGACTGGAGTGTACACATACCTTCAGTGACCAACAAATCCCTTACAACAGGCCACCTGTGAATACTGCACCAGTCCTTATCTTGTTAACCTAGTGGACTGCTTCCCCTCTACCAGAGGGAGAATATTTCTTCACATCCGGGGATGTGACAGGGCAAGGCCAGATGGACAGTGCTTATGAAAGAGAAAGAGGAAAAACAATGGCTTTGCAGAGACTATGCAAAGGTCATGGCACACGCACTGTGCGTCACCAGGACTTTCAAATTGCTTGTATGTTTTTAAGTAAAATGGGTCTAGGGAGACTACGGCAGTTGAAAAAAAGTTTAGGGAACTAGCCAGAGACAGTTACGCAAGAGCCTAGGACTCAAACAGATTTCTACATATGCTCTTGCTGAACCTCATTTCTAGTACTTGTTTCTTTATGACGATTCCTTTTTTTTTTTTAGTATTGATCCCAGGTCTAGCTTGAACCTGAGCTAAGCAGACAGAAATGAATGGAACACTGCTCTGCTTAACTCTGTTTTTCTGCTGGTGTAAGTGACTGGCTGGCTTCAGAAGCAGCACAAACGCACAGAAAAAGGAGTGATGATGCATTCAGTGCTTGCAGCAATGAAGCCCTGGAGCCTTCAGAGTCCTGGGTTCTCAGATCAAGGAGCCATCAGACCCCATGACACCGCAAATTTATGTCCCTCACCTCCTTCCCAGCTCTCTGCCCTTCATAAAATCCATCCATATTCCGACTCCAAATTCCCCAGAGACAGACTATTACCAGACATAGACAGATAGACAGCCATCAGTTAGTGAGGTACAGCTCATAAGTAGCTCACTAAAGAGCCTGCTGGGCTAAGGGAGGGAACTGCTGTGGGTGTATTGTTCCAGTCCCATCATTTCCCAAAACACTGAATGCAATAATAACTTGTTTATAATGATGCACGCCATCAAGGCAGTACTACATAGCAGCATCTGAGAAACAGCTTCGAACCCTATGACCTTCCTCCAAGTGAGAAAGTCTGTAGGGAGGCCATGGGATGCAGAAAGCCCCATCCTTCTTCTGGTTCTCTATTTTTTTTTTTTTTCCCCAGAATTCAAAAATGGGCAGGATCACATCCACTTGCCACACTTGAACCTGTCTGTTTTCTTTTCCCTTAGAGCTGACCACTGTGGCTTAAAGCCGAAGATACTTCCCTTGTCAAGAAGTGATGGGAGTGATACACCAATTCATTCCACAGTAGATTTTTGACATAAAATGAACCATGTTCAGGCGCTTGAGCCATTCTCCTTCAATAGGCTGTAGGAGGAAAAAAATTCAATTCCCTGTCTGTGTTGCACCACTTTCACATTACATCATTATCCTCTCCCTTTGCCTTTACCTACCATGCTTAAAAGTAACTGGCCTCACAGGTTCACAGCTTGCTTTTTGATACACACTTTCTTTGCCACAATACCTCAGCTAAGTCCCTTTGTGCTACACAGCCACCAATCCCACCTTCCTCTGATGGTGCACTAGGTACACTGCCCGGTTGCATTCCATGTTTCTATGCAATAGAGAGCTTGGTTTGCTGACCAGTTAGCCTCTTGTAATCTCCTGTTTTACAGTGTAGTAAAAATGAAAGCAATCCAGATTTTAGAGGGGGGAAAAAAAGCCAAAGCAATGAAAACTGATCCTGTTCTCCTGAGAGCAGATCTGCTTTAGAGATGTAACCTAATGCACCTTCTAACCTGTTCTCGCCGTAGGTAGCTTCTTCTTCCAAAGAAAGGAATAATGTCCTCAGCATCAGTGTGGATGACTTCTGTCTGAGGGACTAGAAACTCTCAGGACTGAGCCTTGCTGATGACTTAAGCTGCTCTGTGTACACAAGCCCAATTATGGAAGGCAAAAGCCTTGTTTTGTTGTCCCAAAAAGGGAAGAAGGTTTAGAGGCCTGCTAAAAACAACCTTCGATCAACTGTACACATCTAGACAACGTTGTCTTTAGTGTCCCAGACGGTCCCAGCTGTTGGTATAAGCAATGACAATGACATTCATTTCTTTGCATGAGACTCACCACATACATTCCATGTGATTCCAATTTTTCAGCTGCCTGCTGATGGGAAGTGAAAGTCACCCAGAGAAAAGCTGTCCTTGAGGCCCACAGGTTCCCAAATCCTGTGGAAAAAGTCTCAGTGGGGAGGATTAGTTGTATGATCACTTCCGGCTGCTACCTAATTTTATCTCTGTATCACTGATACCGAACGTCATTCTTTTTATCATGAGAACCCCTCAACAAATAGGACTAAAAATAAAAAGCAAGAGCTCGGAGTTGGCACAAACTGTGCTACATGAACTCCAATTTGTATAGCAGGAACTATAATCACTCTGAGACGTGCCCAAGCCCTCGGGCATCCCACGGGATTTCAGTCACTTGTTTACAAGGTGTTTTGATTTGCAGCTGTTTGACTACTGTGGCATTTCAAGAGGGGGCGGTTTGAAAGGATGTTGTTACTTTGGACGTCGGGATTGGGAAATGGGTATTGAAAAATCACACAAGAAAACAGGCGAGTGCTGTCTTTGTTCTTCCCCCCCTACATATGAATGACGCCAGTGCTGAGGAAAGGAGCTCCAGGAACAGATCCAGAGGCTGATGCTCTGGAGGGAATCAGCAGGGAACAGGTAAAGCCCCGAAAATGGAGCCATGGCCTAACCTGCCACACCAGAGCGCCCCATATCTGGTCTGGGGGCACTAAGCTTCGGCGGTAAGAAGGGAACTGTCCAAGCCCAGTGCTTTTACGGCTTTTCTAACAAGGTTGCCAGCATATCAGTTCTTACTGTGCCACGGAGGCCCCGAAGAATTGGGCTAAAGGCCGTCACCAGCTCACTTCAAACAGGGCAGCAGCTGAAATGGATTTGGTCACTGGCGCAAAGTGATTTAGCAATTTAGATGGCTCTTTCCACTGTTCCTGCTCTCCTGACCTGGACAGTTCCTCTTTCAGAGCTGCATTAAGCTAATGCCCACTTTCTTCTGGGCCCTCCTGGGATAATGGATTCAGATATGCAGAAAGAATGTAAAAATCCATCTGTTATCTGGGATGAGTGATTTGCACAATAGTGCCCGTGAGTGTTTGTTTAACAATGCGGACAGCAAGAACCCTGCTAAGTTGTAACACGCTGAGAAAGGGAAAGCAAGAGAGGAGAAAATAGCCTGGCTGCTTTAAAACTATGTCCACTGAGCTGTGCGCATTTTTTGGCTTAGTTAGCTGTTTGCCTGTTTTTTTGTGGGAAACCAGGAAGGACATGTAGAGCTTTTCCCAGGCTTTAGAGTGTTATTCTCTTGTTTCCAGCATGAGGTTTTTATATGCGTTAATTGACAGTAACTCATGTAGAAAACATAGTGTCAAGAGGATATTTACCTTGCAAACATTTAATCTGCTGCCCCTCTCTCCTTTCCTGTGACTTTTTCAAGTGATGACTGACTTGAAGCAGCATCGCCCCTGCCAACCCTGGACACAAACCCCTTGCCTGCCCAGTGTGCGCCAGCAACCTGACCGCGCTTTCTTGGCAAGGAGCAGCCATCTCTTCGCTTCCTGGAGGTAAAAGAGGGCTCAGCCTGGAATGTAAAGCAGAAAAATTGAAAGAATCAGCCAGATTATAACATGACAAATTGTTGTTTTTCCTCGCTGAAGACAAACCCATCCCGTGTTTGATTCTGAGTGACACTGATCAGTTCGGCACCAGCAGCTTCTCCGCTGGAGACATGAGTGACTTTGAGCAAGCATCAGAATGATCTAGGTCAGCATTACAGTTCATCACACTCCTTGCTTTCTCTGGGCAAAGCTGAAGGAAAAATCTGCATTTGCATTGCACATGCCACCAAAGATCTCCAAGTACATGACTTATGTAGCCCACACAGCAAGTCTGTAAGGGGGACAGAAATCCTGACTCTCTCTCCTCTCCTCCAGCCAGGACGCCTTTCCCCCAAGGTTAGCTACAACGCCTGCCATCAGGGACGTGCTACACTGTCACCGCCTTGCCATACGTACCAGTTTTAGACTCCCTGTTTTTCACCCATAGCTACGGAAAACTGTGTGCAGAAGAGGCTGCGCGAAAGGAAGTCGAAGATTGCTGAAGTCTATTCTAATCCACGGTGTCTATATTTATGCAGCCCTTGTCACAGCAGAGCAGAGAAAATGTCACTGGAACAGGTTTATTTTTGCCAGCAGGCAAGAGGTTTAAAAAGGGGCCGTATAACCTCTATTTCATGATGTGCTTGTACAAATGTTTAACTTGCTATTTCATTTAAGAATCATCTTTAACATTGATTTATATTCCTGGCAGTGAAGTCAGGAGGTTGGCAATGCCATTCCATTTCAGTCTGTGCTCTGACTGAGGCAACAACGCAGATCAAAGAGAAGTAGTCTTATGGCACTCACATTTTCTCATCCTGAATGTTTTCAAGTTCTCACTCTGATATTCATGGGCAGATTATGTAACTACTACATTTGTACTTCTGAAGGCCAAACAGTAAGGACTGAAACGTTGTATCATCAAGAGGAAGTATTTGGAAATAATTGACTGGAACAAGGAGCAAGCTATCAAGTGAGTACTTGACAGGAGCCGCATCGCTTTCCTTGAGATGTCATCTTGCTCCAGTCTTTTGTAAGGCCAGCCACTTGGTTTCATGCCACAGAATACCAAATTAACTGCATGTTATTACACATCCCAGGTCTTGCTTTCCATCTAAATACGTCAAGCTGACGTGCCGATTGCCTTAATAATTGCTAAATATTCAAGGACTTGAGTTCCACCATTAGCAGTTCACCTAAATGGTGGCATCAGGAGGAGAAGTCAGCCACAGACCTCCCGCGAACGCTTTAGCAGGCCAGGACCGGGAGCTCGCGATCCGACCGGTCACAGCGTGAGAGCTGGCCCCGGTGCCCCCCCAGCCCCAGGGT